GCCTCTGTTCTGTTCCATTGATCTATATATCTGTTTTGGTATCAGTACCATACTGTTTTGATTAGTGTAGCCTTCTAGTACAGTTTGAAGTCATGTAGTGTGATGCCTCCAGTTTTGTTCTTTATGCTTAGAATTGTCTTGGCTATACAGGCTCTTTTTTAGTTCCATAAAACTTTAAAGTAGTTTTTTCTAGTTCTGTGAAGAAAGTCAATGGTAGCTTGATGGGAATAGCATTGAATCTATAAGTTACTTTGGACAGTATGGCCATTTTCATGATATTGATTCTTCCTATCTATGAGCATGGAATGTTTTTCCATTTGTTTGTGTCCTCTCTTATTCCCTTTAGCAGTGGTTTATAGTTCTCCTTGAAGAGGTGCTTCACGTTCCTTATAGGTTGTATTCCTAGGCATTTTATTTTATTTGCGGCAATTGTGAATTGGAGTTCACTCATGATTTGGCCCTCTGTTTGTCCTATAATTGGTGTATAGGAATGCTTGTGATTTTTGCACATTGAATTTGTATCCTGAGACTTTGCTTATCAGCTTAAGGAGTTTTGGGGCTGAGATGATGGAGTTTTCTAAATATATGATCATGTTATCTGCAAACAGAGACAATTCAACTTCCTTTCTTCCTATTTGAATACCCCTTATTTCTTTCTCTTGCCTGATTGCCCTGGCCAGAACTTCCAACACTATGTTGAATAGGAGTGGTGAGAGAGGGCATCCTTGTCTTGTGCTGGTTTTCAAAGGGAATGTTTCCAGCTTATGCCCATTGAGTATAATACTGGCTATGGGTTTGTCATAAATAGCTCTTATTATTTTGAGATATGTTGCATCAATACCTAGATTATTAAGAGGTTTTAGCATGAAGAGGTGTTGAATTTTATCGAAGGTCATTTCTGCATCTATTGAGATAATCATGTGGTTTTTGTCACTGGTTCTGTTTATGTGATGGATTACATTTTGATTTCTGTATGTTAAACCAGCTTGCATCCCAAGGATGAAGACAACTTGATCGTGGTGGATAAGCTTTTTGATGTACTGCTGGATTTGGTTTGCCAGTATTTTATTGAGGATTTCAACATCAATGTTCATCGAAGATACTGGCCTGAAATTTTTTTTTTTGCTGTGTGTCTGCCACGTTTTGGTACCAGGATGATGCTGGCCTCATAAAATGAGTTAGGGAGGAGTCCCATCTTTTTCTATTGTTTGGAATAGTTTCAGAAAGAATGGTACCAGCTCCTTTTTGTACCTCTGATAGAATTTGGCTGTGAATCCATCTGGTCCTGGGCTTTTTTTGGTTGGTAGGCTACTAATTACTGCCTCAGTTTCAGAACTCGTTATTCGTTTATTCAGGGATTCAATTCCTGCCTGGCTTAGTCTTGGGAGGGTGTATGTGTCCAGGAATTTATCCATTTCTTCTAGGTTTTCTAGTTCATTTGCATAGAGGTATTTATAGTATTCTCTGATGGCAGTTTGTATTTCTGTGGGGTCAGTGGTGATATCCCCTTTATCTTTATTGTGTCTATTTGATTGTTCTCTCTTTTCTTCTTTATTAGTCTGGCTACTGTTCTATTTTGTTAATCTTTTCAAAAAACCAGCTTCTGGATTCATTGATTTTTTGAAGAGTTTTTTGTGTCTCTATCTCCTTCAGTTCTGCTCTCATCTTAGTTATTTCTTCTCTTCTGCTAGCTTTTGAATTTGTTTGCTCTTGCTTCTTTAGGATCCCCTATTCAATAAATGGTGCTGGAAAAACTGGCTAGCCATATGCAGAAAACTGAAACTGGACCCCTTCCTTACACCTTGTACAAAAATTAACTCAAGATGGATTAAAGACTTAAATGTAAAACCTAAAATCATAAAAACCCTAGAAGAAAACCTAGGCAACAGCATTCTGGACATAAGCATGGACAAACACTTCATGACTAAAACATTCAAAGCAATTGCAGCAAAAGCGTAAATTGACAAATGGGATCTAATTAAACTAAAGATCCTCTGCTCAGCAAAAGAAACTATCATCAGAGTGAACAGGCAACCTACAGAATGGGAGAAAACTTTTGACATCTATCCATCTGATGAAGGTCTAATATCCAGAATCTACAAGGAACTTAAACAAATTTAAAAGAAAAAAACAACCACATCAAAAAGTGGGCAAAGGATACGAACAGACACTTCTCTAAATAAGACATTTACACAGCCAACAAACATATGAAAACAAGTTCATCCTCACTGATCATTAGAGAAATGCAAATCAAAACCACAATGAGATAGCATCTCAGGCCAGTTAGAATGGCGATCATTAAAAAGTTAGAAAACAACATGCTGGAGAGGATGTGGAGAAACAGGAACACTTTTACACTGTTGGTGGAAGTGTAAATTAGTTCAACCATTGTAGAAGACAGTCTGGAGATTCCTCAAGGATCTAGAACCAGAAATACCATTTGACACATCAATCTCATTACTGAGTATATATCCATGCACACACATGTTTATTGCAGCACTATTCACAATAGCAAAGACTTAGAACCAACCCAAATGCCCATCAATTATAGACTGGATAAAGTAAATGTGGCACATATACACCATGGAATACTATGCAGCCATAAAAAGTAATGAGTTCATGTCCTTTGCAGGAACATAGATGAAGCTGGAAACCATCATTCTCAGCAAACTAACACAGGAACAGAAAATCAATCACCACATGTTCTCACTCATAAGTGGAAGTTGAACAATGAGAACACATGGACACAGGGAGGGAAACATCACACACCAGGGCCTGTCAGGGGGTGAGGGGTAAAGGGAGGGAGAGCATTAGGACCAATACCTAATGCATGCAGGGCTTAAAACCCAGGTAATGGGTTGATGGGTGCAGCAAACCAACATGGCACATGTATACTTATATAACAAACCTGCACATTCTGCACGTATATCCCAGAAATTTAAGCATAATAAAAAAAAATAAAATGAATAATTATTTTAAGATAAGAAAAATCAATGAGGGAAGGAAGACAAAGAGGAAGTATTTACCAGGTCAGTATTATACTACACAACCATAGTCATAAAGACAGTTCAACACTGGCATTAAAAAAAAAAAAAACAATGGAACAGAAAAGAGAGTTCAAGAAAATATCCAATTATTTATGGAAGCTTGATGTGTGAGAAAATTCCCTCTACATATAAAAACAATAAAATCAGAGCCCTGCTTTTAATCGTATAGAAATGTGAACAGATGCATTAAAGGCCTATATGTAAAAGCAGAAACCATAGAATTAACAGAAGATAGAGAACATCTATGTGACCAAGAGGTATGAAAGCACTTCTTAAATAAGATACCACAATTGTAAACCATTACATATTTGGTGGATTTACTCACCAAAAATCAAAGATTTCTGTTCAACCAGGAATATCATGGACAAAACAAAGAAACAACAGACAAATGGCATACTAGAAAAAATATGTGCAAGTCTGAGTACACCAAAGATTACTATCTAGGATAAATAAATAACTCTTATGAAACATTAGGGACATGATAGAAAATCCATAAAAAACTAGATAAAGCATATAAACAGACAATTCATAGAAAAGAACACGTGAATATCATCTTCCTATGAAGAGACGTTCAGAATGTACTAGGAATCAAGAAGATGCATGTTAAAACAATGAAATTCTACTTTATGCCCAACAGAACAGCAAATACTATAAAACTGAATAATACCAAGTAATAACACATAAAGAAATGGGAACCTTCATACATTCTGGCAGGAGTGTGAATTGCTACAGCTAGCCATTCTGGAAAAAAAATATGGCAATATTTCATGAAATTAAAACAAAATTGAAACTGGATACCTTAGCAGTTGTAAAATGTATTCCCTATGACTTACAAAACTGTGTGAAATTCTCTAAAGTACATAAAAGGAAAGCATTTTTTATGGGTGAAGTTGGAGAAAAAATAGATGTCCATTTCTTGGGGGATAGACAAGAAAGAAGTAATAAGTTCATACTATGAGTATGTTAGAAGCAATAAATTAGATGAGCATACAACGTCAAGGACAAATCATAAAGTAAGAAATCAGATGTGGCCTCCAGCACAACACTAGCTATACAATTCAAAAACACGTGTGAAACAATACTACATGCGTCCTAAGAATATGTAAATATATAAATATCCAAGAACACAAATGAAACATATTAGATAGAATAAGTGCCTATCATAACAACTTTTATTGAACACTTACGTGCTCAGCTCTGTTTTAAATATACTAATGTACTAATTTAATTCTCAAAACGTTTATCATTTTTATCTCTACTATATAACTGAGGAAAATGATGCACAGAGAGGTTGATATAGCAAGTGGGTGGCAGATGTGGAATTCAAGCCCAGGCAGTCCAGAGCCTGTACTCTTTGCTTCCCCTATGTTCTCTATGGAGAGGAGGCAAAAACTCAGGAGGGTGAATGAGAATAGTATGCCATGAAAAAATAATTAACTTAACCCCCACACCTGAGATCTGCAAAAGGAAACAAAGTCTTCAATTAAAGATCTTGTTACAACGCCAAGTCAAGTGCTTATATAACATGAGCAGGTAGATTATTAAATATTTGACCCTTTCTGGTTCTAAAATTTTCAAATCCTAATATTTGACTTTATGTTTTCTATGACAGAAGACCCAATCAGATACAGCATATCTGTGAAAAAAGAAAAATGTATTATTTTTCACATTTCTAGGACAATCTAAATACTATGTCATGGAAATTAATTCTTAACACAAAGTAGGCACTTTCAACAGGTAGATGATGATGTTAAGTTCTAGATTTGGGAAAACAAAGTTGCTATGTTTATACACGTAATACTAATACCCCTCATTAAATTAGCAGAACACTATTGGGGGGATATATTGTAAGTTTAGCCCCTGAGGCTGCAAGGATTATAGGGGTTATATTCTCATAACAGCTATGACATTTAGAACAAAATAAAAACAAAGTAAAATACAAAGTAATCTTACAGTAGAACGCTTCCAGAAATGAATAATTTCAGTGACATTTTTTGCAGGATGCAGTAAAAAGTAGTACTTCCATTCATCCCAGTCTACTGTCATTGAGCCATCAGTATCCATGCTGAAATTTTTAAAAAAAGAAAATAGTGCTTGCAACATTTATATCAAAGTTAGCACCACTATAAAAATAAATACTTCTTAAATATTTATTGTTGGAGCCACTCCTTTGGACTTCATGAAATTACTGTATTTTCATATTGTTATTTAAATGGACTTTATTTTTTAAGCAATTTTAGATTTTCAGAAAAATTGAGATGACAATACAGAGAGTCCCATATATCCCCACACTCAGTTTCCCCATTGGTAACATTTCACATTATTATAGTACATTTGTTATAATTAATGAACCAATATTATTAATTGCTACATTATTATTCACTAAAGTCCATGCTTTATTCAGAGTTTCTTCATTTTTAACTAGTGTCCTCTCTTTGTTTCAGGATCCCAGCTGAAATGGCACATTCTATTTAGTCATCACATCTCCTTAGGCTCTCTTGGCTATGACAGTTTCTCTTTCCTTGTTTTTGATAACCCTGATAGCTTCAAGGAGTGCTGATCAGGTAATTGGCAGAATGCCCCTCTAGTGGATTTTATTCCATATTGCTTTTTAATTATTTACTTGTATGTATTTCTCCCATATTTTCCTATGATATTTTGAAGGGAAAGACCAAGTCATCTGTGTATCTCCAACACTTAGCCTTCCATAAATATCTGTTGAATCAATGAATAAATGGATGAAAAGTGAATAAAACTGATTGAAGGGTAATTTCATATCTTTTGGCTCTTCAAGTATTATTTTTACTTCTGATCCTTTTCTCCCTATTTATAGCTTTTTAATCAACTTTAAAACAACCTTTTATTAATTTAAAAACTCACTTTTTACCATGGAAAATTTAGGATTTACTCAATTTTTAAGCATCTCAATTTTTTTAAGTTGTTTCATTGTCTGACTAAAAGATGGAATTAGTGAAATGCTTTTTAGGTAGCATTATTGTAAATACAAATTATAAAAAACAAATTCCATTCTGCCAACAAAAAGATTAGTACAATTTCCAGTTCTAGCCAAGACAAAATAGTGGCTATAGAACTTAGACTGCCACTGTAAACCAATCTGAAACTGGACACAATATATGAAACAACTGTTTTCAGGCATCGGTCTACAAACAGGACAGGGTTGTGATACTTGAGAGAAGGAAACCGAGAAGTTGAGCTCTCCATTGATTCTCATTTTTGGCTGGGGACACTTCAAATAGTAGCATAGACAAGTAGGAGCCTAAATAAAGAACAGGTGGGTAGAATAAACAAAGATTGGAGCTCAGGGCTGCTGAGAGGGCAGGAATTTTCAGGTCAAATTTTGGATGGTGTTCCAGAAACTATACGGGTAACCTTGAATCTTTGGCCGAATACTAAGCTACACTTGACTCCATCGGCCTGACAAAAATAGCTACTGAAGGACTGTGAGTTTGTAGAAATTCAGTAGCTGAGCAATACTGGAGTTCAAATAAGAAAGCAAAGATGGAAGTGAGGGCAAGAAACATTACATACAGGGGGAACTAAAAAAAGCAACCACTGACATCAGAGTCAGCTCTTGATAGCAGACACCTTTTTGTTGTTGTTGTTGTTGTTTGTTTGTTTTTTGAGACGGAGTTTGGCTCTTGTCACCAAGCCCAAGCTGGAGTGCAGTGGCACGATCTAGGCTCACTCTAACCTCCACCTCACAGGTTCAAGTAATTATCCTGCCTCAGCCTCCTGAGTAGTTGAGATTACAGGCGCCTGCCACCACACCCAGCTAATTTTTGTGTTTTTAGTAGAGACAGGGTTTCACCATGTTGGCCAGGCTGGTTTCGAACTCCTGACCTCAGGTGATCCACCTGCCTCGGCCTCCCAAAGTGCTGGGATTACAGGCGTGAGCCACTGCGCCTGGCCAATAGTAGATATCTTTAGTGATAACTTCAAAGTGCTGGAAAAAAATAAATTCAACCTAGAATGCAACTGCAATAAAAATAACCTTCAAAAATGAAGGTTATATAAAGACATTTTCAGGTAAACTAAATAGTCCCTATAAAATTCACCTGTGGGCAATGTGTACCGCTTCAATCTGCTTTGCCTTATGACACTACATTGTAATCATCTGGAACTATCTACTAGCCTGAAACCCTCCAGTGGGGACTTTGGCTTGTTCACAACTACATCTTTTGTAGCTACAACTATGACTGATATTTATAGAAGTTCTATAAATAAATTTTGAATAAATCATTGCTATCAGTAATTCATAATTAATTACAGTATGATTCAGCAGTGTATTTCAAATTTTCCAAAAACAGTATAGCAACATATAATTTTGTGAGTAATGGCTTATAAAATACCATTTGTCATATCAATGAAAAAAATCCATAGATTGACAAAACTCCCAAGTTTCTATCAAACTTGACCTATCTGTTACTTCATTTTTTAAAAAATCCTACTTTTTATTTTAAGAAAGCTTATTTCTTGTTTAATTACTTACAAATAGAGAACACATTCTGTATGATTCCAGTTCTTTATTAAAATATTTCACATTTCCTTTATGACCCAATGTATGGGCAATTCTTATCAATGTCCTACGTGTGCTTTAAGAGAAACATATTCTTCAGTTTTCGAGTACAATATTCTATGAATGTTTTCTAGGTAACGGTTGGTGATGGTATTGCTATATTTAATCTTTAATGGCATTTTCTATCTACTTGTTCTATTAAATGCTGAGAAATCTGAGTTAAATATCTTACTATAATCATTGACTACTTATCTATTCTTCCTTGTATGTTTGTTAATTCTTGATTTATAAATTTGGGCTATATTATTAAACCTATATAACTTTAGAATTCTATCTTCTGGGTAAATAAAATCCCTAATCATTACAAAATGCCCCTTTTTATTTTTGTAATGTTTTGCTTTCTCCATCCTTTTCTTCTAACACTTCCATTTACTTAAAAATATACCTCTTGTAATAGTATGTAATTAGATTTTGTCCACAGCAACAGCCAAAATATTCTGTTACATATAAGATACAGATTAATAGGATATATTTCATGTTAAGACATAAAAGATAGAATCATAAAACAATCAAGAAATAATAAACTATAAGGAATTATCAAACATATCTGAAAAAGAACCAAATGACATAAACTTCTATAAATAAAAAATTGTTAATAAACTCAATAGAATGGTTAAGTGAAGAAAAGAGATAGATGAAGAGGGGAATTGAAGATATATTTGAAGGACTTACCCAGAATGCTGCACAGAAAAAGAAGAAAGTAGAAAATGCAAAAAAAAGACAAAGAAAATGAAGAGGAAACTGTATTTTAAAATATAAAGATTGAGAATTTTTCAATACTGTCATAAGACATAAACACATAGTTTTAAGAAGTACAACAACACTGAGGAAGTAAAATTAATAAAAAGAAAGCAAGTCAGGCCTATTCACTAGATAAAAAGCTACAGAACCTAAAAGACAAAAAGAAGATCATAAGAGAACACAGAGAGAAGAGACAAATCCCCTAACAAGGATCAATATAAAGACTAGCCCAATCTTCCATCTAATAGTGCAATCTAAAAGCAGTAGAATAATATCTCAAAGTTCTGAGTAAAAATAATTGTCAAACTGTGTATCTAGCAAAACTCTCTTTCCAGAACAAAAGTGAAATAGACATGCTTTCAGATGCTCAACAACTAAGAGTTAAGTACTAATATATTTCCACTAAAAGAATTTCCAAAGGATGCAGTTCATGAAGAAAAATTATCCTGGATGAGTAGTGTGGGATGCAAGGAAGAATCATGAGTAAATAAGATGCTAAATATAAAAACATCAATCTCTATAAAATAACAATTACAATACCTATTTGTTCAGTTTAAAAAGAGAATAAAACAGCATATAAATTAGAAGAGGGGTAACTGGAGCTAAAAGTGTTCTAAAGTCTGTTGTTTGAAGAGGGTATAAAGATTTTGTTTAACTTCAGCCTTTAAATTAAACTTGTATAGTAGAATTTCAAGCCTAACTACTAACAAGAAACAAAGTATATAAATCCAAACCACTAAAAAAAAAAAAATAAGAAAAAAGATGAGAAAAATTTTATAGAAAAGAAAGGAAAAAGAAAACCGTATAAATACTGTAAATCAGTATTACAATCAATCCAATTACATTCAGTCTCTTACAGAGAATATAAAAAGAGAGACTACTCCACAACTCGCCCCATGAGGTCATTGTAATCTAAGAAACAAAATCAGATTAGGACAGTAGAGAAAGAAAAGAACAAGACAATTTCAGCCATGAACATAAATGTAAAAGCCATGAATGAAATTTTAGCAAATCGAATCCACCACAATATTTTTAAGTTGTGTTTATCCTAAGAATATAGGGATGAATCAACAAAGAGAAAAATCTGTAAATTAATTCACCACATTAACAGATTAAAGAAAGATATATATGATCACCTCACAAATCTAAACCCATTTGTAATTTTTGAAAGTCTCTTGACAAAATAGAAGGGAACTTTCTTAACATGACAAAGATGATAAACCACTTTTAATGGTAAAATATTAGAAGTATTCCCTTTAAGATCAGGAAAGAGAATGCCCATCACTACCAACAGCATTCCAGCAAGAATAGAAAAACTAATTAATCAAAGGTCTAAGGGTTGGAAAGACAGAAATAAAACCACTAGAATTCACACTATTATCTTTCGAGTAGTATCTTACATGGCAATTATAGCTTCTGTCTCCTCCACTTCCCACACCACAATTTATCTGGTTCTTCTCAAGGTATAAACACATCTTGCATCCTTGTTAAAAACTAGAATATCACAGCTTGAGGCTGTTTAAAGTCACAGATATCATTAAACATGTCATTCTAACCCAGTCAGAATCTATTCTATGCAGAGGGCATATGAAGCACTAGACACTTGGCAGCATTATGGGCAAATACAAACTGTTGTAAATTAAGGGATGAGTTAGCTGAAAGAGGGTTTGAAAACCCATATACCACCTCCAGAGGATCCTACAGTTAACCAAAGTGCTCACTTCACAGTTCTTACTCTCAAGCCCAAGGAAGTTTGAGAACCAGCATACTACTATCAAGCTTTTGTGCTTTGCAGGTACAAGAGACAATGGCAGATTAAGCGTGAGTAAAAGCGTCCAGAAAACATAAGGTTTTCTTTTCAATTCCACCTTCCTCTACTTCCCCATCCCTCATGCTCTTTTAAAATTTCTCCTTAGGATAAATTGTCTCTGTCCCTTTACATAAAAGCTTAATGGTTTCAATCATGGAATCCCTTCTTCAAAAGAAATCTTCCTGAAAGTTTAAGACATAAAACAAATGAAGGCAGAACTGTTTGGTTCAAGCAATAGTTGGAAGCCAGAAACTCATTCTGATCTGGCTCTCCTTCTCTCCTCCCACAAATACACAGAGGCTCCCTTAAGAACAGTTTGAAAAACCATTACACTGGTAGTATGTGTAATTTCATTTGGTTTCTGTGGCTTAAATGGTCAACCTAGGGAATGACATTGCAGGCTGCTCTTAAAGGGATAGATTTCAAGTAAGATAGAATTGAGCAAACACACAAGCAGGTTTGCTTACCAAGTTATAGAAGAAAGGGTGAAATACCACATTTATAGCAATTAGTTCCTAACATCAAGTATAAAACACAAGAAAAAGTTATTAGAAATAAAGACAAGGACTGACCTGCTCAGAATTGTTTTTGCCTGGACTTCAGAAATATGCATACCCAGAGATTTCAAAGCAGCAATTATTTCTGAAGCATCTATTACTCCTTGAAAAATGAAAAAATGTCAAGTTAAAGTATCTGAAAAGACAATAAGGCAAATATACTTACAGTGTAAAAGGCTTAAAAGGCCCATATAGTTTTGACCTATAATCCCATATCCACAGGTGAAAGCCTAACAAACTTTCTGGAAAATTGGTACCAAAGTTCATTTGGTGGCAAAATCTACCTTAAACAGATATTAGGTTAATTTTAGTCAATTACTTATCTAATTTAGTGTGAATATTCACGTTTCACTGCAGAAGCATTCATACTTATAACTACATGGTGGTGCCCCAGAGTTCCCATATCATATATGTACTGCATTACTTTTCTAAAATCCAAATTTTAAATTTCAAACCACATTTGGCCCCAGGCATTTCCAATGGAATTGTAGGTCTATAAGATATTCTTGACTCGGAAAGAGCTGAAAAAGTCAATTCTGAAGATTTGATCCATGAGCCTGAAAATAAGGCCAGTCAATGTTTTATAAGGTAAGCTTTCAAAGAAACAACTGACTTAAAATACAGCACCAAACTCATGATTTAACACATAATATGATGTATATGATGTATATATTATGATATATGATATGTTATATATTATGATAATATATAAATCAAATCTATATGATTTATATATTAAATCATAGTATATGTTTTAACACATCATAAACTATGTTAAATAACTCAAATCAATGAATATATTTAATATAAGCTTACTATGCATTTCACTCACAATGTTGGAGGTTGTGAAGGGAAAATTATGTATTGCATATTCTTCTCAAATTCTAAAACACAGATCTAATCCTATCACTCTCCAAGTCCAAAGAAACTTTGATTCCTGCCTTGCATAAAGCAAGTAGTTGAGGATATCTAATATTTTTAAATATAAGGACAATGTTTTTAATGTAAAAATAAATTAACTTTAGCATCTCCTAGTTGAAAAATACATAATGTCAAAAAGTTACTATAAATTTAGTCACACTTTTAACTTATATTTATGAACTATAGCTGCCTATGCATACCTTTACACACACATATATGTATGAGATGTTACTTATCTGGTCAATAGACAAAGCCCGTTATTCATCTATAGAATCTCAGACTCTTTGCAATGACTCAAGGGCCTCCAGTATTTCAAGCTCCATAGAATGTAGTTTACTGGTCTATTACTCAACCTAGAAATCAAAGTTTCTTCAATAGGGGAGGCAGGATCCTCTGCCTTATACACCATTATAATCTTCAAATACTATACTCTTCAATTCAATTTAATAATTTTTAAAATTTGAAAACCTACTATGCAAATCACTATGCTAAATGTGAAGGAATCCAAAAATTAATAAATACCCCAAAGGAGTTTACCAATTTGTATAGATGCACCAATTATTTAAAAATAATTACTGCTACATGTTTGTTAATAGAAGAGCTAGGAATAAAATGCAAAGGGAGGGTAAAGTAAGGAGTAAATAAGAGTCACAAATGAGATACTATAAAGGATAAACAAGAGACCACCAAAGAAACAAAAAGCATTTTAATAATAGGTACAGTATGAGCAAGGTACACATATTTATTTAACTAAGATGTATTGAAAACTTACATATGGTATCAGAAATCAGGACAGTAGGTACCTGCAGAGGAGGGATAGTGATTTGGAGTGGGTAAAAACGGAATGTTTCTGAGATGCTTGTGATAATCTACTTCTTAGTCTAGATGCTATTTTCATGCTGCAAGTTTGCCTTGTGAAAATTCATGGAGCTTACATTTATAATTTATGTATTTTGCAGTATATGTTATATATCAATGAAATGTTCCAAAAAAATAGTAAGTTAGGGACAAACTGGAAATGTCATTTAATCAGCTCTGACCTTCTCTGGTAATTTCCCAACTATGCCTTTGTTCAAGCTATTGTCTCCGCTCAAGAAATCGTTTATTTTCATTTCTGTTTATATATTAACCCAGTACAAATCTTAATTGTGCCTGGACACAATTAAGTTCTTCTTGTATCACTTTTATAGCAATGATCATAGTCTACCTTGTGTATAGCTATATACGTCTTTTATTACTCCACCCAAAACTGTGTTTCTGAAGACTTTTGTTAACACAGTTCCTAGTGCACTAGCTCATATATAATGCTTGAATACTGTTTGCTTAATTGACTAAAATATATGAAGTAATCCTTACCTAAAAGAACCTAGAATTCAGGCAAATATGTAGGAAAAAAGATAGGTAATCCAATCCAGAACATAATCAAGGTCTATGGGCTTAAAGGGACATTCAGTGTTGTCTTTAATTATATGCAGTAAGCTTTCACTGAGAAGATGGAATTGAAATGAATTGAATGGGATAACAGTATTTAGAGAGATGGAGGTGAGGACTGCAACCATTCTAACAATGTAATTCCAGGGAGAAATGTAAAATATTCCATTCCTGTACCAGTGATCTATTGCTAAGTTACAAACCACCCCAAAATGTAGTGGCTTACAAAGACTATATTTAGTTATGAATATGCAATCTCAGTTTGGTTAAACTTGTTGGTTCAGTTGGTTGGTTCTTCTTCTGATCTGGTCTTGGTCATTCATGTAAATTTAATCAACTATTGGTTCAACTGCAGCTGGCCAAGATGAGAATATAGAACAGTTAAGGACTCACTGGGTAGCTGTCTCCAGGTGATCTCTCCCCCTGGGTAGCTATGATAGCAGCAGGAGGCAGACGAATTCCCAGGCAGAAATGAGCAAGTCCCCGCTGAAACCCAACCGTCAAACCAAAGACAGCCCAAAGTCTGAAAAGTGAGCTACCAGAGTCCATGACTAATGCGAGAACTTCCTCAATGCCTTTTAGCCAATGAAATTGTGCTTTTTCCAGGCCTGCCCATGGACCAGTCAGCATGCACTCCCTCATTCGGAGCTCATTAAAAACCCCAGACTCAGCCACACGTTGTACTACCCACTTTCAGGTCCACTCCCACACACAGGGCCACCCGCCCTCAAGTCCCCTCTCTGCTGACAGCTTTCCTCCTTTCACTCAATAAAATTCTGCCCTGCCTTGCTGACTCTCCAGTGTCCATGTAAACTCATACTTCTTGGTTATGGGACAAGAACCCAGAGCCTGCCAAACAGCAGGAGCAAAAAGGGCTATAACACATTCCTGGCCAGCTCTCTGAGCTACAGGCAGTGACATGCTCCCATTTGCCAGACTATGGGAACGAAAAGCAACAACACTTCTGGGGGTCCAGACCTCAGAATTCCCCAAGTCAGAGCTATAACACAGTAACCCTTCTCCCCAGCAATGGGCTGCCACCCTATGTGATGGGAAGCTGCAGCAGCAGGGCTGGGTCAGCCCAGGAGCCATGACTGGAGCAGGGTGGTGGGACCAAACAAGCTGTGACAGGCCCCCATTTGCCAAAGTGGGTGGATGGCAGGAACAAATGAGCTGTAACACAAACAAGCTGTAACGTTTCCTGGTGGCCAGTGCTCAGGACTCCCCGAGAAAAAGGCTGTAACACATCTTGGGGCTCTGCAATTGCTGTCATCCCTGAGTTGCCAAGTGCTACTGCATCCTCCTTATCTAGACACTGGTGCCCAAGGTGGAAGGCATTCAAGGCAGGATGCCTGGACTAGTCATGGGCTGAGTGCAGAACCAGCAGGTGTGGGATCCAGGCCACCAGCACAAGCTGAATGTAGCCTGCCAGCCCAAGTGGGCAGAGAAAGCCCAGTGGGCACAAGAAAAACTTGGGCAAAGGCGCCATCAGCCACAAAGGTTTCCAGCTGGTGAAGAAGCACCAAAAGAATCCCATGTCAGCTAGTCTTTTTTCTGGTGGTTTACAGTGTTCAAGAGACAGCACTCAAGAAGACAAGCCCCAATGTACAAGTACTTGTATCAAGATTTGCTTATGTTCCAAGGGCTAAAGTAAGCTAAATGGCCAAGCCCAGCTCAATGTGGCACATGGCAACAAAGGGGCATGAATCCTGAGAGGTGTGGTTCATTGGGATACCCAACGTAAGCAAAATTATTGAGCCTTCCTAAGCTTTAGAGTTCTCAACTATAAAATGTAGCTGCTGTGATGATTGTGTGAGATAAAAATAAGATGTAGAAGGTAAAATAGGTAGAACAAATATGGCAAGTAGGAGAGTTCAGTAAATGTTAGTTCCATTCCCTCCATTTCTTCAATCCCCAGAAAGCTCTATCCAAAAAAGAACCTTAATGATGAAATTAAATTTAATAATTACTTCATTCACATATTTGCAACAGCATTCTATGGACATTTTGACGGAACAGAGCAGGGGTTTAGATGCTTTCTTGGTGATTAATATGGTTTGGCTTGTGTCCCCACCCAAATCTCACCTTCAATTGTAATAATCCCCACGTGTCAGGGGCAGGGCCAGGTGGTGATAACTGAATCATGAGGGCAGTTTCCCCCATACTGTTCTCATGGTAGTGAATACGTCTCATGAGATCTGATGGTTTTCTAAATGGGAGTTCCCCGCACAAGCTCTCCTGCCGGCCACCATGTAAGATGTGACTTTGCCCCTCATTCGCCTTCAGCCATGATTGTGAAGCCTCCTCAGCCATGTGGAACTGTAAGTCCATTAAACCTCTTTCCTTTATAAATTACCCACTCTCAAGTATATCCTTATTAGCAGCATGAGAACGGACTAATACAGTGAGAGAAGTTAACCAGATCAGTTTACATGAGGCCTTGCATCCTTCTAAGAGTGAATTTGATAGTAGACCAGCCCACATGCATCCACTTGCCTCCATTATTGGCATAAGGCCTGGAAATCCTTCTAGGCAACTGGGCAGGGGTCATTAAAAATGAATCTTCTCCCATCCTGGCTAACAGGGTGAAACCCCGTCTCTACTAAATATACAAAAAATTACCCAGGCATGGTGGTGGGCACCTGTAGTCCCAGCTACTCAGGAGGCTGACACAGGAGAATGGCACAAACCCAGGAGGCAGAGCTTGCACTGAGCCGAGATTGCGCCACTGCACTCCAGCCAGAGCAACAGAGCGAGACTCCATCTCAAAAAAAAAAAAAAAAA